CTGGTGAACACCTGGTGAAGAACACCTGGTGAAGAACACCTGGTGAAGAACACCTGGTGTAGAACACCTGGTGTAGAACACCTGGTGAAGAACACCTGGTGAAGAACACCTGGTGAACACCTGGAGAACACCTGGTGGAGAACATCTGGTAGAGAGCACCTGGTGGAGAACATGGCTGCACATTTAAAGGAACATTTGAAGGTTCTGTGAAGTGAGTCTGTTCTCTCCCATCCAACAGAACTCCATCAGACAGAACCAACAGCACCGTGAACTCCACCCATTCACAAACAGGACCTTTACCCCCGGCAGTGATGGGCGATGGAGACGGCCGTCCGAGCTGCTTGGCCTCCTCCGACCCGGTGGACGTGATGCTGCTCGTCTCTGGGTCAGCGTTGACGTCCTTCCCGCCTCGCCTCTTTATCGTGCCGGTATCTCCTTCTGAGTCCTCCCCCCAGTACGCTGCTGAGGATGAAGAGGAGCTGGCAGAGGCCCAACTCCCCCTGGCCTGCGCTGCCCACAGAGCAGCAGGACCCCCCAGTAAGGCCTCTTGTCCTGAAGGGAGCCCCCCACTTCCCCCTCCGAAGGACAACGTCTCCCAGCTGCGTCCCTGCTGCATGGTCTGGATGTTGTCGTGGGAACCAGAGGAGCAGGAGGTCCAGGAGCCGCGGCCGCTGTCTGCAGCGTCCAGGGACACCCGATCGCCCTGATCCTGAGTCAGTTCCTCTGAACTGGGGGAGGAGAGGACCGTGGGACAGCCGGCGTAAATGCCCCGACAGTCCTGCATCGACGAATACGACCTGAGACCACAGGAAAAAATACAAATAAGAAAAACAATTCCACTTTTTTGTTTTTTTTAAAGAAAACAATTTATAGAGCGTTGCTCTTGTGTTCCTACCCCAGACTGTACTGGTCGGGGTCAGTCGTGGCTCTTCTATCCAGCCGAGGCCCCCCCAGGTGGGATTCACAAACTCCCCCGGAGTGACGGAGTCTCCTCTCCTCCTGGGCCATGTCGAAAGACGAGTTACTGACCAGACTGGAGCGGGACGAGATCTCACTGTGACCCGAGTCCGAACAGGCGTCCCCACCCCGGCTGTAGCCTGCAGAGAAGGCTTGGGTCAAAGAAGGCTTGAACACAGGACGGTGCGGGGACACGAAGACCAGTTTAGGACTAAATTCACATTAAATAAAGACAAAAACATCAAGGAACAAATTAATTACTTCATGATTTTAAAGGTTTAAATTTCCAATATTAGTACATTTAGGCAGAACATGTGAAAAGACACATTAACAAAATGTACATTTACTGTCACTAAAGACAAACAAGATCATTTAAATTCTTATTCTTAAAATCTGTTTTTAAAGGTATACACATATTTAACTGACTTTTATTTTTGTTTCAAATAAACTCGGTTCATTTCAATAACGGATAAAACCCTGAAGGAACTTCACATGTTGAAATAATTTATTAAAAGTCAAATTATCTGTAAAGCTCGTTTATAGTTCTGAGTCATTAGCAGAAATAATCGTAGGCTCCATTTCCAACACGTTCAGCAGTTTTCTGCAAAGATCTGGGTTTCAACAGCACGGGGGCGCGTGGACCGATCCTGACTGCATCAGGGTAATGGAAGGTGTAAGGAAGCTGAACACTAGCTGAAAGCTAAAATAGATAAACACTAGCTGAAAGCTAAAAGTAGATAAACACTAGCTGAAAGCTAAAATAGATGAACACTAGCTGAAAGCTAAAATAGATGAACACTAGCTGAAAGCTAAAATAGATAAACACTAGCTGAAAGCTAAA